AACCTTTGTCCACTGATACCGTCAGAGATGAGTCAACGGGTGAAATTTAGATCACAGTCCCGATGTTCAATCTAGTTTAAAATGCCCCTTTTGAATACATGATAATCTCTCTCTGTGCCTACGCGCGCGCGCTTGTCTCACGATGGTTTACGCGGGATTTACTTTCTCTCCTTGGGTTCCCTGACGACGATTCGTGCAGTTGCATGGCAATTCCTCGTTACCATACCGTCTGGTAGTGCATCACCGTCACACGGCCATAAGCCCACAACCCATGAGTGATGCTTGATTCGTCGTCGTCGCGAAGTCGTGATGCATTTATCCGCGCCCACAAGCGCGAAGAAACCTGGAAACTTCCTGCCCAAAACGACTCCAATTCAGGCTGTGCCCCGGCACCAGTGTTTCAGAGGTTAATAACTTGATTTGCTGTTGCACATATGCTATACAGCACGTGTAATTAGCGTGTTAGTGTAATTTACCGTGCCGATAAGCACCTCCCATTATCCTGAAGAAAAAAAGAAGCACCTCGCATGCACATCACGATCTATAAAAAGGAGATGAGAGCCCAGCCGGCCAGCGCCGCCCAAGTCTAAAGCTAAAAAGCACACCGGCCGCTTCCTTGCTCACCGCCGGACGCAAAGGCGCAGCCAGCTTCCGGGCCAAGCCCGCACGTACGGAGTACATATGATGCCCTGTGTGTCAGACGCGCTTGCTCCCTGCACCAACTGGCTACCTACAAGCTAGGCTCCATCGGAAGGCATAGCCAGCCAGCCTTCACACAAGGTACTCATTCCGGAGTAAAAGCCGCGCGCCACACCCTTCTTCCCTTCGGAGTCCGGCCGGCGCCGCCTTCCCGCCGTCTCCCTCTCTCCGCCGTGCCCCGCCGCCGTCGATCTCGGCCGGAGAAGCTACCCGAGGTACGTGCGTTCTGGTCGTCGGCCGTGCGGATCCGGCTTGCAGTCAAGTGTGTTCGATTCCTTTCGCGTGGGTTCTCGACCGGTAGCGCGGGTTCGTTTTCTTTTCCTCTCCGACGCCAACAAGCGTCGTCATCACTGGCACGTACCGTTTTCATATTGCCATGAATTATCGTATAGTAAAGTGCTCCCTCCAAACAACTTTCGGCCGGCTGTGTCTTGTCGGATCATGTGTCACGAGACGATCGAACTCCCAAGAAGATTAACACCGACTTTCGATAGATAGATAGAGCTCTCTCTGTGTCCTGTGGTCTTTATCTGCTTTTGTCTCAGCGTGTGTGAGATTAACTGCAGACACGTTTATTTAGCTGTGGTCGTACGTTTATTTCACACACGATATGGTTAATTAGATTGGAAATGAGCAAAGGACGAAGAGAAAAGGAGGCTAAACGCGTCCGTCCGTACGTGCTGGGGGAACCCATGCAACTCCTGTGACGGGCGCCCCACTGGAGACGCACGGGATGATGATCCCCACGGCACGCACCAAAGCACACGACGAGAATAGCCTAGCCGGGGAGAGTAGATCAAGGAGCGGCCGTCTCAGCGCGAGTCGGTACACCGGAGTCGCGTTGGTCATACGGAGCTTGGAGCAGGTGCGTGCGTGAGGTCACCCACGACGGGTCGACGGCGACTCGACCCCAAGTATAGTCGCGTGCAGTGACACCAGGTCCCACCGACCCACCTCAACACACTTGTTTTGGACTCCTTAAATGCCGTCCATGGGTCGTCTTAAGAAAATATGCCGTCGACGTGCCATGTTATCTGGTAGAACTTTCGTGAAAAAACAGTCAAGTAATAGATTGGCGTTATTTTTGTTGGTCCATATGCTACTAGTAAGCCGTACATGCTACGCATGTAGGGGTGCTCGTTTACTTTATTAGAAAAAAATGTTTGAATAGTGCGTCCACCTTATGTTTTTATCTTCACCAGTTCTGGCTTTATCTCACCTAAGCTGAGTATGCACATGACTCCACAAGATCCTAGGAAGTAGGAGTATCTAGAAATTTCAAAACGACAGCTTCCCCATTGTTTGAGTAGTACCACAATTGATGGAGGCTTAAATTATTTATTTTCCTGTGGAAAACCGACATCACCAAAAATGTTGATTGTCATAGTCCAGCAATAGTCGAGAACGGTGTGACCAATGATACAAACATGGAAAACCCTGGTCTTTGGCGCGTTGAGCATGAGATGGACCGTAACCCACGCGCATTGTCCATGATTTTACACAATTGTTCTAAAAATGCCCGAAGCAAAAATATGCCACTACAGCTTCACGCTAGACCTAGCAACCATCTCATAACACTAACGAAAAAGAAAGATCTAGAGATGCAAGGTGGCATAATCTGACGCAAACAAGATGTTAATCAGATGGATGTGGATGCTTGGATTTGCCGCCTGTCTGCCGTTGGATGGGAGTAAATCAACGGCTACTATTTGAAGTTATTCCTACACTATGTAGTGATGATGATGATATAGATACATGGGCTGTAGATGGAGATACCGCTTCACTCTCTTCACTCCTCGCTCCTCCATGAACAATTTTGATGATACGAATGACTTATCATACTTGCTCTTAGCTCGGATCCACCTTGAGTCCTTGATCCTACTTTAATATGTTTATTGCTCCTGTAATAGCATTTTCTGCAGTATTGATAGCCCTAATTTCTTCAATAACACATTTGTTAGAAAATAGCCACTTTTTTGAAAAGCACAATCAACACCAACCTCTTGCTGAAGTTAGTACTGAGTTGATTTGTTACTGTCTGCCGGTGTGTGTGTACACCGGTGTTAAAAGACGGAGCCGAGAGAGCACCATTGGATGCCGGACGTGTCAGAGTTGAGAAGTGAAGCCATCAACGACATGTTTTTTTCGGTGACAACATTGGAACGAGATCTCTTCGGACTTAGGTCTTGTTTGGGTCATGATGTGAAGCGACCCTCAATGCGTTATCAGGATTAGATGGAAGGTCTGCTTTGACGATGACGTCGATGTGCCCAGAACGTGGTGGCAATTCGAGAGAGACATCGAGAGAAAGAAGATGTGTTGTTGTATATTAGAACTAGCGCCTCGCACAAATCAGTTGTGTTTAAAAAAGAACTAAAATAATACTCCCTATGCCCCAAAAAGCTTGTGTTCAATTTGTTTAGGTAAGCTTTTGTGGGACGGAGGGAGTATGCTATAGGAAAATCCTATTGCTATCCTTTGTTCTGGTCTCATCTCCTGAAAAAGTTCAAAATCATGACCGGGTGAACTTATATAGTCTAACGAATACCTAAACAGAACGCTCACACGATAGTATCACAGCTTAAGCACAAATGTGTTAACCATCTGATCCACCGATGAAGGAGTACAAGTGTACAACAATCTACACACAAAAAAAATCTACATTGTTTTTGAAATACCAGTACAATATACAGCGATTTGCTTTTTGTGTGCACATACCGGGTGGAGGCAGCGAGCTGGCTTTCGTATCACAAGAGACAGTCCTGTTCGCTCAACTTTAGCTATAGAAAGACGCGTTTTCAGTTGAAGTTCGGATCCGCCCATCAATTCGTTGCCCTCAGCCCACGCAACAGAAAGCGAAAAGGAAGGAAGGAAGGAAGGAAGCCGGAAGAAATCCGAGTGCGTGAAGCGGGAAAAAGGCAAGGAGGAAGGAAGCAACGCGGAAGCGGCAGACAAACGAAACCAGGCCAAGCGCAGCGCCCCCCCAAATTCGCCCGCCGCACACTCGCTCGCTTCGTTTCCTCCGCCGCACGGCTTCTCCGCTGCCCCCCACCCCCGCCCCTCGCCTCGCCGCCGCGACGGCCCGCTCCACCTCCTCCACCGCCTAGTCTCTCCCGCGTGCGGCGGCGCCCGCCTCGAGGTGGTGTCCACACTGCCGGATACATTCGCTTGGTTTTTTTTGGGGGGCTTGGGGCTTGGAATTTGATTTGCGCTTCGTTTTCGGGTTTTTGGTCTCTCCTGACGCGGTGCTGATGTTGAATGTGCGTGCAGATCGGGGGCGCGGCGGCCGCGTGTGGTGTCATCTCTCCTGAGGAAGCGGCGCGATGCCGGCCGGGGGCGTCGGCGTGCAGGCGCCCGAGGCGTCGCCGGGGCGCTACGTGCGGCGGGTCGACGAGGTGCCGCCCGACGACGACGGCTGCGACGGCGTCTTCGGGGTCGACGTGCGGGGACCCGGGGACAACGACCCCTTCGACATCCCCGCCAAACGCGCGCCCGTCGAGCGGCTACGGCGGTGGAGGGTGAGTCGCCATTCCCTACTCAACCTGCTGCATTGAGCCCGACTTGCTGGGGGCTGCAGGGTGCTTTGGTTGGCGGCCATGCTTGCCACCGCAATGCGGTTTCGTTTCGTGTAGATTGTCTTTTTTTAGACGGGTTTAGAGTGTCTCGTTTATTTTTGGTTGGTGTTGCCACCCAAATATGTTGGTGCCTGGTCTGGTGGAGCATATGTTGTCGAACTTATCCATCGCTACCGACTAGTTCCATTTTATTTATGCAATTGTAGACAACTTGAGTAGTCCCCAAAACTGCTGGTGAAAAGCTCCAGAATGGTTGGAGGAAGGATCGTGGACCTCACTTTAGGAAAAATGCTAGAGAAATGGTCATATCCCCCAAAGTCGATGAGGCTTTGGTGTTTTTCTATCACAGTGGGTTGCTGCATCCACAACCTAGGGATTGGTGAGATGATTAAATGAATTAGTTGTTTTAAGCTTAAATGTCTGGTGTCCTCTGGCTGCTACTGAGTTTTGAGCGAGACAATGAATTGCAGTGAACCTAGCCATGGACATATACGTCTGTTATCATGCCATCATCTCTTGGTTGATGAGTTGGAATAATCTCGTAGGGGCAATAAGAACTCTTTATGTTACTCGGCCATGTACTGAGTGTGCTGATCGGTACACATAATATGAGGTAACGTTTCAATTTATTAAAGCATGGATAGTTGGACAGAATGAAGGGATGAGGTGTAGCGGAGAGTGATGATGGACTTGCTTAGTTCTCGGCTTGCCCTTGAAAGCAGAAATAATTTGGGATCATTATCGCAGGAAATCCTTTTATTTAGTTGATTGGTTTATTCTGTTGGATGGATTTAACAAGTGGAATAGACAATTCATACTTGGGTGTTGACATCAAGGATGAGTGTTTAGATTCGATACATGATGGGACAGAGAAGATAGAGGAGTTGGCGGAGCAAATTCACCTTAGCGAACCTTTTACTACTTGACCGTCTAAGTCACGTCGCCAGCAGCAAGATATACACATTTTGGTCGTCTAAGGCGAGCTGTTTTGTCTAGGATATATTTCTCCAAGTAGTTGCAAGACTTAATTCACAACATGGTGATTCCAATTCCGATATGTATCCTTATCCAAACTTAAGCCTAACACTCGTCCTAAATTTCATCTGTATCCGAGCCTCTTAACTGGAACGTACTCAAACTTCTGAAGCTACTTCCTGCCTCGCCAAATATTCTAATCTTGTGCTGCAGAAGGAGTGTAAACTCCTCTCCTCTGATATCCACAAGCCCTACTGAGTCTGAAACACATTCTCCCTGTCTCCTTCCAAACCCTCACACGTCCTACTCTTGTCATGCAATTCTACGGCATTGCTGAAAACATATTATGACTGAACTGCATACTAAAAGTTGCATTGAGACAGCCCAAAAGTAATACTCCGATCCAAATTAATTTGACGCAGCTACAACTTTAGTTAGGTTATACTAAAGCTGCCTCAATTAATTTGGAATGGAGGGAGTAGTTGTTTTCTTTTGTTGACTGCAGTTATCTTTTCATTATTTATATTTAGTTCCACCCCTACAGCAGAGCTTGGTAAGTTAACATTATTTGTTCTTTCGTGTGAAATAGAGCTTTTGTTGTGGATGGATCATACGATTCACATAGTATTAAAAGATGGATTGCTCTGAATTCTAGTTCTCCAATTCTACTTTGTTGTTGTATTGTGCATTTTTTTTGTTCATGCATGTTTGCATGCACATGCGCTCGAATTGGAAGTAAAATTCTTTATATGTTCATGCATCATTTAGAATGTTTCTTAGGGCATGTTGGACTTGTGTACTTACGCCAAATTTGCACTATTACTTCTACTAGCGATACGGCACATTCAATCATAACTGTTCTTGTAATCAGTTTATTAACTCTACGCATTACTATTATGGTTTGTTTTATTTGCAGCAAGCTGCACTTGTGCTCAATGCATCTCGGCGATTCAGATATACACTCGACTTGAAAAAGGAGGAAGAAAAAGAACAAATAAGGAGGAAGATTAGGGCTCATGCTCAAGTCATACGGGTATGCGTTCAAGCTTTTGTTTCTGCAGTATATGCGTTTTATCATCACACACTTTTCCTCTTTGATGCTTTAGTTTTGAATTCAATCAGGCTGCACTACTGTTCAAGGAAGCAGGAGAAAAGCAGAATGGTGATACGGAATTACCAGGTAACTGCTGTGGGCTCATTTTGTTGTTGTACACATAAGATGCTGTCGGCGTCTTGGTTACGTTCTCTTATTTTGCCCTGTGAGGATTGTGTCAAGAAATAATCGTGTACTCAGTGGAGTACGATCCTGCACCTTGTCAATAGTTGTTCAAACTGTTATTTATGCTGTTTTATTACTTTGACGTTTCTTGCATGCAGAAATTCTCCCACGGGGGTTTGGAATTGGAGAGGATCAACTTACATCGATGACAAGGGATCATAACTATTCCGCTCTGCAAGAATATGGAGGGGTATGCACCATTCCTACATGCAAATTAGCTAGAATCTTCAACTTCTGGATCATTAGTTAATGCGGTATCCTTCTTTGGCCATTAGGTTAAAGGGCTCACAAATTTACTGAAAACAAACCCAGAGAAGGGGATCCATGGTGATGAAGCAGATTTGTCATGTAGGGCGAATGCTTTTGGGGCTAACAGATATCCTCGCAAGAAAGGAAAAAGCTTCTGGGTAAGTTTCTTTACAGTTTTTAAAGGTATTGCGGTATCAGTGATTAATCCTTCTTACTGTGTTCTGCGTTGTGACAACAGGTTTTTCTCTGGGAGGCCTGCAAGGACTTGACATTGGTTATCCTTATTGTAGCTGCAGCCATTTCTCTTGTATTGGGCATCGCAACAGAGGTGGATTCCTTGTCCACCTAACCTTTTTCTATTTCTTTTGCTTCATATTTTGTCTAAGTGTTGGATAATACCTTAATGGTTGTGTACGTTTCCCCCCTTTTGAGTTATAATTCTGGTTCCATAAACTTCCAACAGAGCATTTCCTTATGGATTAACCCTTTGAACATTATGTTTATTTTGGTTCTAACTTTAAGAATTTCGTTAGGGCATCAAGGAAGGATGGTATGATGGTGCAAGTATAGCATTTGCTGTCTTTCTTGTGATACTTGTTACTGGTATGCTGTTTTCTTTCACACATTCAACCCTTAGGAATTCAATATTTTTAGATATTAAAGATGGATACAATAGTATCATTATTGTACTTTAGCAAGATGGACATAATGGTTTTTGGACTTGAACTTTTCTTAACTTGGGATTCTGTTATAAATTTGGAAGACAAACACTAGACCTTATTTTCTTGGGTTTATTCTTCAGTAGTATGCTTGGGTCCATAATAGTACATTGTATTTGGAAGATAGAGCAATGTTATTTTGGTTTTGTGCCTCAACTAATATCAAATATGCGCTTCCAGTATATTTTTCTATCGTTTTCTCATGCGCTTCATTTTTTTTAACTTCACTTTCTCTCCTTCTGCTCACTACGCCCATGAAAGGGTGTCCAGTTTGAACAATCCAGTTGTAACTTTCTAAAGACTCCTTTTTTTGTCTTATTGTCTTAGCTGTCAGTGATTACAAACAGTCCCTTCAGTTCCAACACCTCAATGAGGAGAAACAAAATATTCAAGTCGAGGTTGTGAGCTGAACCTAATATAAGCTTTGACTATTTACTTGCTACTTTTGGTCCTCTGATGGCATTGCAATTGTGGTATGGTGACCAGGTTATTAGGGGTGGTAGAAGGATTCAAGTGTCGATCTTTGATATTGTTGTTGGTGATGTAGTAGCTTTAAAAATTGGTGATCAGGTAAGATGCAGTAAACAAATATGGTCTGCATGGCTTATGTTTGCGTTGTTAACATTTCTAATAATATAACAAAATCAAAAACCACCTTTTAGGTTCCAGCAGATGGCATTTTAATTAGTGGCCATTCTCTTGCCATTGATGAATCCAGTATGACCGGGGAAAGCAAAATTGTAAGTTATCCCTTGTTTTTAGACTCCTACCTAGGATCAATTTGCCAATGAGTAGTAAATGTTCGGTCCTGGATTAGGTTTTGAAGGATCAGAAGTCACCTTTTCTAATGGGAGGATGCAAAGTAGCTGATGGTTATGGTACCATGTTGGTGAGTGATCATATCTTGTTATCTCTCTTCATTCTTTTTTGCTTTCTGTTTTGAGAATCACATGTCTACGAACAAAAAGAGGCAATTTGGGCCCATTGACTTATTCATGTCTTTGGATTTGAGTATTCCTTACCTGCGAGCTAGATTAATCAAAGAGGGGAATGGAATTGACTTAATATTACTAAAAATGATTTGATTCCACTTGCAATTGTGCTACTCAAATGCAGGTAACTGCGGTTGGTCTAAACACTGAATGGGGTCTATTAATGGCCAGCATTTCAGAAGATAATAATGAAGAGACACCATTGCAGGTTTTTTCTGTTTATCCTTTTGCTGATGATCTGATTGGAATTCATCTGTGTGCAATGTGAGTTCTGTCATGGTTAATTCACGGCCTTTTCTCTTTTCTGTTTAAGGTGCGGTTGAATGGAGTAGCAACATTCATAGGCATTGTGGGGCTTGTTGTTGCAGCAATGGTCCTTGTAGTCCTCTTTGCAAGGTAAGACTCGTTCATGTAATTCCCCCATTATTTGAACACTGTACTTTCAGTATGATGTATGGTTCGTACAAAGGAAATGAAGTCACAAACGTAAACCTGTAACTCTTATGCCTATCCTATGTGTGTAAGGGCAGTGATCTGTTGCTTTTGTATCCGTTATATATGTACATACTTGAGCTCTTCCTTTGCTCCCAGATACTTTCAGCTTTAGGACATGCTTCTAAACTTTTTTTTTTGTTCCCGTGTATCTTACAGAACGTACTAATAGTTCTTTTTCCTTACTCACAGATATTTTACAGGACATACTACAAACGCAGATGGTACTGTTCAGTTTGTTAAGGGGCGCACAGGTGTGAAATCTACAATATTTGGAGTAATAAAGATACTAACTGTCGCGGTATGTAATGATTTAATATTTGGTGTATCTGAAGCACCTTTTTCTTTTCTAATTCTTACATTGCTAAATGCAATTTAGGTGACTATTGTTGTCGTTGCTGTACCTGAGGGACTACCGCTGGCTGTAACACTAACGTGAGTCAATAGAAGCGAAATTTTTTCTTCATCATTTTGACTTCATTATAGTTTTCTGACCTATATATTTTTTCAGCCTGGCTTATTCAATGCGGAAAATGATGGCAGATAAAGCGCTGGTACATATTTTTGCTGTCTGTTTATTTTGTATTCTGTCTGTGATCACATAAATCTATATGTCAATTTCAGGTGAGGAGGCTTTCAGCTTGTGAAACGATGGGTTCTGCTACAACAATTTGTAGTGACAAGACCGGTACATTAACGCTCAATCAGGTTAGTTATTTTTAGCATCATAATGGATCTTCACTTCATTCTGTACTATCCTTTATATGACCATTTAACTATGTGTGACTTTTTGTTGCTTAAGATGACTGTGGTGCGATCAATAGTTGGGGCGATAGAGCTGCAACCTCAGGCTACTATTGACAAGTTGTCACCTACAGTTACCTCTCTTGTACTTGAAGCAATTGCACAGAATACTTCAGGCAGTGTGTTTGAGCCAGAGGTGATGCCACATGTATCCACTACTCAACGCCTTTTACTGCTGCATTTAAACCGCATACTGATAACATGAACGCTGGTCGCAATCATCTTTGTATTTTTCTGGAAACTTATTTTCCTGCTCTAAGTTTGTCTATTGAAGTAGTACTAGGATTTCGAGGTTGGGATTATTTTCCAAGACGTTCCTCTCTGCTATTCTCAAAAGAGAACAACCTTAATTGCACATTAAATGCACTTTTTTATTTGTGTAGAGGAGTCTGTGTTTATGCTGAAATGTCATCTATTTCATAAAATACGGGGCATTTTCTGCTTTTGGCAATGAGTATCAACTACTCGACACCTTTTACTAAAAAAGGGCAACCTGGTGCATGTAGCTCCCGCTTGCGCAGGGTCCAGGGAAGGGTCCGACCACTTTGGGTCTATAGTACGCAGCCTTTCCCTACATTTCTGTAAGAGGCTGTTTCCAGGACTTGAACCCATGACCTCATGGTCACTCGACACCTTTTACTACTGCACTTAAACAACATACATGATAAAATGAATGCTGGTCACTATCATCTTTGTAATATTTTCTTAAACACATTTTGGCGCTCTGAATTTGGCTGTTGAAGTAGTGTTAGAATTTCAGGTTGGGATTATTCTTACTTTTTTATATGTGTAGAGGAGTCTGTTTATGTTGAAATGTCATCTATTTCATAAAATACGGGGCATTTTCTGCTTTTGGCAATGAGTATCAACTACTCGACACCTTTTACTACTGCACTTAAACAACATACATGATAAAATGAATGCTGGTCACTATCATCTCTGTAATATTTTCTTAAACACATTTTGGCGCTCTGAATTTGGCTGTTGAAGTAGTGTTAGAATTTCAGGTTGGGACTATTCTCTGAGACGTTCTTCTATGTTATTCTCAAAAGAGAGCAGCCTTAATCGAACACTAAATGCATTTTGATAGATGTTGCAGTGGAGGCTGTGCCTATGCCAAAATGACATATATTTCATAAAATACGGGGTATCTTCTGCTTTTGGCAATGAGTATTAGCCGTTAACAGTCAATACTGTCATCATTGCAGTGCCGTTTCTTTAGGGTCCCTGCTATTCTTTGGCCGAAAAAGGCCCCCTTCTATCAATGCTACTAGTTACAGTTGTCCATTTTTCATTTGATGTAATTGATATCCTGTCCTACATCGCCCTGATTCTTGACTCACCAGGATGGTAGCACCGTCGAGGTAACAGGCTCACCAACTGAAAAGGCAATCCTTTCTTGGGGTCTTGAGGTAAGATTTCCTGAGAGTTAAAACTTACTTCCACTTTGGGTGGCTATATTCTTGCTTATCCAGTTGATGCCTTTTTAGCTTCATATGAAATTTGCCGTGGAGAGATCAAAATCTGCTATCATTCATGTCTCTCCATTCAACTCAGAAAAAAAACGCGGAGGCGTTGCAGTGATTGGGGTAATTTCTTATTTCACTTTCAGCTGTATCTTTAATATTCTAAAAAACTAGTTTATTACTACTTTGTTATAGCATGTTTTTCATTGAATGGTCATATTTGCCCAAAAACGAGTTTTCACTAGATATGTCTACCGCCTGGTCTGCAAAGATGTACTATATTATGGGACGGAGGGAGTACTTTGATAAAGAGGAACTGGTCTTGGGGCTTGACCCTTATATTGCTCCATGGGGCTTAAAGATGATTATGGGCTTAAATGTTTTATTTAGGAGTACTTGACGTTCACATTTCCTTTTGTTTTCTATGCATATCTGATATATCAGTTGAGTTCAGTAGTTCACCATGTCAATCTAGGATGCATGTGTCATTCATATCTTCAGATCATTTGCCTTTTCTCAGCCATCCTCCTTGCCTATTCTCTGTCGGTCTGTAACCTATTGCTATGATTTTGGGACAGCAGAACAAAATAATGGCCACCAGACTGGCAAAATTCTTTGCTCAACACATATCTTTAATTCTAAAATATATCCAAGAATAATTTAGAAGTTCTGTTATGTGCTAATATTCTGCTATGCCTTGCAAGTCAAGAAAGTGGCTCCTGCGGTCTTCATGGTCTAAGTTAACTTGGTCTGTGATATACATATACTTCATCTGATGCTTGGGAGACTTCAATTAATCAACAGTCTGTCACGTGTTCATCTTTGTGTTAAATTTGTTATGATTGTGTTATTAATTTGGTTTAGCTAGAGTGCCATTCTTTTGCATGATTACCAAGTGTTGTTTACTGTTGTGCAGTACATACCTCTACATACTCAACCATATACTGAACTTAGTCATGTGTTTTTTTAGAGAGATTCAGATGTTCATGTGCATTGGAAAGGAGCTGCGGAAATAGTTCTCGCGTTATGTACAAATTGGCTCTATGTAGACGGCTCAACTCATGAAATGACATCTGATAAGGTAAATGACCTACACACCTTTTTTGGATTTAATTCCATAATTCCCTGTCTCAATCTGGTCTTTCAGGCTAATCACTTCAGGAAATACATAGAAGATATGGCGGAGCAAAGTCTTCGTTGTGTTGCTTTTGCTTATAGAAATCTTGATCCGAAGGACATTCCAAGTGAGGAACAAAGAATTAATTGGGAGTTGCCTGATAATGACCTGACTCTTATTGGAATTGTGGGGATGAAGGTACATGGACAAGACATGCAAATCCTGAATTATAATATTGCATATAAGGATGCCGGTTCTTTACCTCTATTTTTGTCATAACTTTTGATAGCCTTTTGGTTTGTAGCTGAGTCATCCATGTTCTTTTGCAGGACCCTTGCCGTCCTGGAGTGAGAGATGCTGTTGAGCTGTGCACCAATTCTGGTGTTAAGGTTTGTGTTTCTAATTCATGTGTTGCCGAGGGACACAAAGAACAGTTAGAAACAGTACAAGTTATATTTGCCTCCAATGATGACTGTATTTGTATGTCCTGTGTAATTTATATATTAACGCTGCATGTAATTATCATTGCTACCTTTAAATTTGTCAACTATTGACACCGTTAAATGTTGGTACAGTAGGAGTGCATTATTGGAGTTCTTGTCATCACTATAAGCTAACTTCTGCAGTTTTTGAATGGATAGGTACGGATGGTAACTGGAGATAATCTGCAGACAGCTAGAGCAATAGCACTTGAGTGTGGAATACTTACTGACCCCCAGGCTTCTGCACCAGTTATAATAGAGGGAAAAGTTTTCCGTGCATACAGTGATGCCGAAAGGGAGGCGGTTGCCGACAAGATATCTGTAAGACCATAACTCGTTTGTGCTTGCCAAAATATTAAATGTGTCCTAAGCTTACCGAGCTAACCTAATGAGATTATTTTGGGTTGACTTATGCTCTAAAAGGTTATTGTCATGCATCTTATCTAGTAACGTATTTGGTTTGGCAAGATGGACCATAAACCTAGGCTGATATATTTGAAATCATGAACATTTAATGAGGATCAATCGCTCTTTATGTCATCTGCTGTTCTGTATAATGCTTCTACCTTCCCATCTGATACTTGCTTTACAAGTATTTGAATGGCAGCTAAAATGGCTGGCTTGCAAATTCTAGTCAAATAACTCTTTGCTTTAGGAATATAGGGAAAGAAGCTGGGAAATACTCCCTCCGTTCCAAAATAGATGACTCAACTTTGTACTCAACTTTGTACTAAAGTGAGTACAAAGTTGAGTCATCTATTTCGGAACGGAGGGTATATATATATATAGAACCTTCTAAACATGGAAATTCCATGCAAGATATAGGGAGCACAGTATTGTACTGTTGTCTGCCTTATTCGGTTCTTGTAACTGGTGATGATCACTTGTTTGGTTTGACATATAATTTCCCTTTCTTAGTCATCAAGGCACAAAAATGGTCTCTTATGCCACTTTGTGTAGTATATATCATTATATCTATGTTCCGTGATAGTCTCATGCTTAACTTTTACCTTTGTACAAGTACGAAAAATATTGAACAACTGAATTTGTCTTCCACTAACCTATAGATACGGGAAATATCACGATTTCACTTTGAGCTTGGTAGCTAATTTTGTCACGGCATTTCTGGTGCTCTATTTCATGTGATAGGGCAGATATTCCTCCTCCCGTTTGAGTCCATATGTTATCTTGTCCAATACTTGCTCCTGCTGTTAACATCATAATTTGCTGGTTAGCCTGATTCTCAAAATCGCATTGAAGGTGATGGGAAGATCCTCTCCGAATGATAAGCTTCTTCTTGTAAAAGCACTGAAGAAGAACGGCCATGTTGTGGCTGTTACTGGAGATGGGACAAACGATGCCCCTGCATTGCATGAGGTACGTGCATGAGTTTTTATTTTGAATGGGTAAAAGGACATTGGCTGTTTTTTTTTTGAATGGATACAAAGAAAGATTATAAATGTATCGAGTTGAATAGTTGATGCTAGTGTTTCTAATTTCAGTCTCTCATCCCTCCTATTTTCAGGCAGATATTGGTCTTTCTATGGGTATCCAAGGAACAGAAGTAGCTAAAGAGAGCTCAGACATAATTATTCTGGATGATAATTTTGCTTCGGTCGTGAAGGTTAGGCCTGTTTGTAACTTAATGATCTTCTCGTCCACAGTTGATATAGTGTCATTAAGTCTGTTCACATTTAATGTTCTAGGTGGTCCGCTGGGGTCGTTCTGTTTATGCAAATATCCAAAAGTTCATTCAATTCCAGCTTACAGTAAATGTTGCGGCTCTAATAATCAATGTGGTTGCTGCTATTTCCTCGGGCAATGTTCCTCTAAATGCTGTTCAGGTTTGTCACAACATTCTTATTTACATTTCTTAGAATTGTTGCCAGATTAAAATCATTTTCCATATTGATAGTTTCAATGCTAGCCGTGTCTGAATATTCATAGTTAATTGGATCTATATGCCATGTGCTTCTTCCACCACTTATAGTCTATTGAATCATTGTGCCAGCTAATATAGTTAATTAGAGACCGCATTAGAGCAGTGTTAGTCTAATTACTCTCCTTTTTGCTACTATTCTGGACTAAATCCTGCTTGTTGAATGCATAAAATTAACTATATCAACTAAGCGAGAGCTTCACATGGAAATCAAAATTTATATCTGATGGAAAAATTCCATAGTAGTTTATCGAAAGAGTATGCACCAGTGATGGGATATCTGTCGGGATGAGTATATTTTCTGCTGAGAGTAACATCTTGTGAAAATCATCATATTTGTGTCATAAAATGTTGAAGATCAACTATGAAAATAATCTTGCCATGTTCCATTAGGAAACTCTGAATGAATAGAAATGAATTATCAACTTAAAGTATCAAACCTGTATAGTTTTGCTACACCCAGATGTTTACTTGTTCTACTGTTGAGACAGCTTCTCTGGGTTAATCTCATAATGGACACACTCGGTGCACTTGCATTGGCTACTGAACCACCAACGGACCAGCTTATGAAAAGGACACCTGTTGGACGGAGGTATGTGCATTAAGCTTCTATATCTGTATTTCTTGCTGTGCTAACTTTCAGTCTTTTAAAATCATCAACCTATCCTAAGCGCAACTTTGAATCTCATAGTCATAGTCATAGTTCTCTTCCTCGAATCAAGGTTGTTGAGTACACCATTTATCTTTTTATGAGGGCCCCACAGATTTGAAGAACAGGGAAGTTTGGCCAATAATTACTCCCATAATATATAGGATTAGTGATGCAAAAATGGTACAATCATATAAGCGTATCTAGTAGTATTTATAGAATTTTGTGGTTGCTAAGAATTACTCCAACAATATATTTATGAGGGCCCACAGATTTGAAAAACTGGAATGTTTGGCCAACAATTACTCCAATAATATATAGTAAAAAATGGTACCATTCATATAAGCGTATCTGGAATTTTTTGGTTGCTAATAATATACCGCAAAAGAGACATGAGTCCAGGGACTTTGACAAAGAGAAATAATTTGGTGATTGTTTTTTTTTTGGGGTATGTTTATGTTTATTGCCGCAAGGGCTTCTTGATACTCCCTCCGTTCCAGATTCTAGTGCGTATAGTTTTTTGGCTTCGATTCCGATATGTAGTGCGCATAAGCGCTGTGAAGCTGCTTTGGACGAAATAACCCTCAACTGGTTCACGGCAGTGCAGCAGCAGGTACCCACGTGCGTGACAGACCAAGCAAGGGGAGGGGTAATTCTTGTCCAAACAAAGACGCCAGCTCATACATTGGTATAAGTGCCCCAGCCAAAGGCGCACTATAAAGAGGAATGGAGGGAGTAGTTTATTGCTATTTAATCTTAGTTGATTAATTAAGCCTTATCCTAATCTGTTATTTATACTGTGTGAACCTTCTTGATACTGTGTCATTCAAAATATGCTTGCTGGTGAGAACCAAGAAAAAATGTTACTTATACTCAATGATTCTAAATCGACTTTAAACATGCAAAGCATCCAGTAACAATATTTCATATAATTCTTGATTGGCATTAGTGTTGTGTGTACACTTAAAACAATTCTAACATTAGTGTGCATATCATGCAGAGAACCTCTTGTGACTAATATTATGTGGAGAAACTTGTTCATTCAGGTATTGATCTTTTCAGATGTTGACTGTCAACTAATTATTTTACCGGCACATTTTTGAGTCAGTTACTAAGGTACTCTTGTGCAAGCACAGGCTGTCTATCAAGTGGCTGTTCTTTTGACGCTTAACTTTAGGGGCCGAGATCTTCTGCATTTGACTCGAGATACCCTCGAACACTCCAGTAAAGTGAAAAATTCATTTATATTCAACACATTTGTCCTGTGTCAGGTAACTTCCTGCCTTGTTTAAGCACTTTTACTTTATTCGGAAGCATGTTTCCAGCTTTATGGTTGAGTCTGAATATACTACTTTTCTCTCTGGGCCACAATGCGCATCATCCACAGCTTTACAGTAGCATGTTTCTTTATTATACGGTACAGTAACACGCCTCAGTAGCTCCCACAGCTGGCTTAGAAAGGGTTTAGTTAGATTGGATTTTGATTAGCATCAAGTAATATAGGGATAAGTTCATTTTGTTCAGATTGCCTTCTCCCTATTTGTTCAAGTTTGTTACTGTTCAAACTCTATAAGCAAGTCTTTCTGAAATGTGTAATCCCTGTCTATGGTCTCATCTTTCTCCTAATCCCTTCCATTCAGCATATGCATATACCATCTTGCTGCTTGACAAAACTCCACTCTTTCATTTTCCCCAATAGGTGTTTAACGAGTTCAATGCACGTAAACCAGAAGAGCTGAACATATTTGAAGGAGTTTCAAGAAACCACCTCTTTTTGGCCGTTGTGAGCGTAACCGTTGTGCTGCAGGTAAAATGAGAGAAAACACAAATGTATGAGCGGAAACAGACAACCTTTGAGTATCTAGAATTTCACTTTTGTCCATAATTTATTCTCAGGTGATAATTATTGAGTTCCTTGGGAAATTTACATCAACAGTGAGACTCAGTTGGCAGCTTTGGCTTGTTTCTCTTGCTATTGCTTTTATCAGGTGAGATCCTTGTCCCTGTTATGAACCTACTTGTGTTGTACAGATGAGTAATGCTTTTGAAAATAATTTATTTATCAAAATTTCGTTTCAGTCATTAATTTGTTAGCAGTTTGAATGAACATATCAGAATTTTGATTGTGGCATGCTTGCTTGTGTACCATTTCTGTGTTCATGTAGCTGGCCGCTGGCTCTTGTTGGAAAGTTCATTCCAGTTCCCCAGACCCCATTGAAGAATTTGATCCTGAAGTGTTGGCCAAAAAAGAAGAAGCAAGGTACCCATGGTGTTTCAGTTTTGAAAAATAGCTGCTATATTTTTTTGTGTGAAAATACTTGTTGTATCCGCAACCATTATCCTGTCTGAACCTGTTATCTAGTACTCCCTCCGTTCCCAAATGTAAGTCTTTCTAGAGATTCCAATATGGACTACATACGGAGCAAAATGGGTGAATCTACACGCTAAACTATGTCTATATACATCTGTATGTAGTCCATATTGAAATATCTAAAGACTTATATTTAGGAACGGAGGGAGTAACTGTGTAGAAGCTACATTTTGTTTCCTTTCTGGCCGTTTGTTGAAACATCCATTTTTTCCCTTCTCAATATTAATCATCTCGGTGTCTCAATGCACAGGTGATGAAGGAGCAGCTCCACCGGTGTGATACTGAACGTCTCTCCCAAGTTGCAGAAATCATCAGCTGCCAAATTCCAGTTCTGGTGCATATAGATGCTTGCATAAATTTGAATGCTGATTTCTTCTAACCACGCTAGCTAGCTTTTACCTGACTAAATACTCGGGAGGTTGAAGCCAACACTAGTGAGACGCTTCGTCCTCGCTGACTCGTAAGCTGGATTCTGAAGCCGACCTGAGCTAAAGACCATTTTAGTAGCCTAACAAAGGTCAGGAACTCCGTCGGCTACACTGTACAAATGGTGCAGCATGTCTAGTATGATCTCGCAGTTGGGAAGGTGCCTAGTAAACAAATTTCCTTTTGGATACAATTGATGTGTATATCGTTTCGTCTAGGTTCCCTCTTTTCCTCTAGGATTTTGTTCTAGTGAGTGGTAATGTTTGTGTGGTCGAATCATGAACTTGCATGATGTGCATTAAATTGGTACTGACTTCAGTAAAGCGACCTTCTGTATGCCAAACCTTGTGAACGTTTATGTTTTCCTAAAAATGGTACAAAGCGCACGTGCGATGATTCGGGCTCTCTGCAAAATTCAGAACAAAACAAATTGGAACCGTTAACTAGAATTCTCTTTTTTTCTATTGCAGTAGTGAACTACTCTTAAATGGGTATTATCCCCCCCCCCCTCCTTCAATGGCATAATAAAATATTATGGCTTTATGCTTAATTCGTGTATAGGTAAACTTTAGGTCCGAACAACATTATTATCCAAATATCCCTTTTATGTACATATCTCTATGGGGAATCATGCTTTAATTTTTCAAAGTATTAAATTAAATATCTTGAATAAAAAAAATGAAATTTGCTCTGATATAGAGTATAACCTGACTATCTTGGCCCAAGTGAAATTATGATAAAAGAAAAGCATGGATATGGGGAGAGGTGGATAACTAGATTGGCATGTACTTAAAAAAGGTACTTTATTTTAGAATTCCACAATGAAATACTGAATTTTCTAGCAACTATACTACTCTGATTCGAAATAAAAAAGAACCCTCAAATTATTTTGAGAAATTATAGTAAGCACGCTATTCTAAATCAAAGTAAAGCAAACTTTCTAGTATATTATATTACGGCTGAGTGCGGCGAATCTGCACCCGGGCTCAGCTGCACCCCCGCTCACGGAAAAAATCAAAACAAATACAAAAAAAATTCAAAAAATTCCAATTTTTTTGTGCGATAAATAATTAGATGCGTGAGGTTCGCTGCAAAAATCAACTCGTTTGGGCATTTGAGCAAGTTTGTGCAAAAAAGACAAAACCGGGGTCTCTAAAAAAGTTTACTGTTTCATGAACTGTTTTGACCTGATTTGTCTTTTTTGCCGAGACCTACTCAAATGTCCAAACGAGTTGATTTTTGCAGCAGACCTTACGCATCTAATTATCTACCACACAAATTTTGAAATTTTCTATTATTTTTTTTTGATTTTTTTGCTGACCGGGAGCAGCTGAGCCCGGGCTCCAGGATGAATTATCGATTACGGATTTATTACATTATAGAAAGGAGATAAAATGAGAAATCTTTGCCATCCAATCTGATTAGAGTATCATAACATAAAGTATAAGTGGCAGAATTTTTTTTGTAGGAATGTTTTATCAATTCATTTTCATTTCATTTGTACCCCTGTCAAACTCGAACTTTCTTCGAAATGGTATCTATTCATATGTATGAAATACGTATGTGGAGCTCCCTAGAATTTCATGTGATTCAGTAAAAAGAATATAGATTCCATGATTGCTAGATCGATCCATAGGGATTGATGAAGAGTGAGCCGATAATGGAATTTTTTTTTGATAAACAGGAAACTTAAGATTAAGATGCTCTGGAATGGAAACGAGGGAATGTCCACAATACCCGGATTTAGTCAGATCCAATTCGAGGGATTTTGTAGGTTCATTAATCAAGCCTTGGTAGAAGAACTTGACAAGTTTCCAACAATTAAAGATCCAGATCACGAAAATGCATTTCAATTATTTGCGAAAGGATATCAATTGCTAGAACCCTCGATAAAAGAAAGAGATGCTGTGTATGAATCACTCACCTATTCTTCCGATATATGTATCTGCGAGATTAATTTTTGGTTTCGATGTGCAAAAACAAACCATTTCTATCGGAAACATTCCTATAATGAATTTCTTAGGAACCTTTATTATAAATGGAATATACCGAATTGTGATCAATCAAATATTGCTAAGTCCTGGTATTTACTACCGCTCGGAATTAGATCATAAGGGAATTTCTATCTACACTGGGACTATAATATCAGATTGGGGAGGGAGATCGGAATTAGCAATTGATAAAAAAGAAAGGATATGGGCTCACGTGAGTAGAAAACAAAAGATATCTGTTCTAGTTCTATCATCAGCTACAGGTTCGAATATAAGAGAAATTCTAGATAATGTTTCCTACCCTGAAATTCTCTTGTCTTTCCCGAATGCCAAGGAGAAGAAGAGGATTGAGTCAAAAGAAAAAGCTATTTTGGAGTTTTATCAACATTTTGCTTGTGTAGGTGGGGACCTGGTATTTTCGGAGTCCTTATGCGAGGAATTACAAAAGAAATTTTTCAACAAAAATGTGAATTAGGAAGGATTGGTCGACGAAATATGAATCGGAGACTTAATCTTGATATACCTCAGAACAATACATTCTTCTTACCACGGCTCTCCGATCGGCCGCACGTGAGCCGCGAGCGGACTTGAGGCGATGCGATGAACAAAGCAGATCGCTAAAAATATCTTGCCCCCGGTTTTCTCTCATTCCTCGCCTTGATCCTGTCTCCTGTCTTCTCTTGCGAGCAATTCTAGTTGATCCCCTGTATCCTATAACTCCTTAAATTTTTAGCTCCCTCTTCAAGTGCAGTCATATGCTCTTTCACTTCCACCTTCCTTACCTAGGCCACCAATTTTGCTCTCGATTTCTCATCCTCAAGAAATTGGTCTACTCTTCTTTGCGTTTGGCCACCAAAGCTTTTTTAGTCACAATCATAGCATAGAGTCAGTCATGCTATTATTTGGAGGGTGGAAAGGAGAAGGATCTGTGCTATCCATGAGAGGAGGGGAGAACCCTAACATACAAGGAGGTCCTGCTACTGCCACCCTCGTCGCTGCCAGAGGTTCTACCTCTACAGCCTCCCACTCAAGCCAGAAGAAGAAAGAGGAACA